GGACGATTGTGAAAACAAAAGCAAGAAATGTTCCCAACATACAAGGAATCATATCGAAGAATGAAGAGTGTAATGTGTGGGTGTAACTTGCATTCCAAGAGGATCAACAATCATGGACCCAGAAACCTGTTCGAATAAATTCAGAATTTGAAAGCCAAAATTTAGTTCGTACTGATGTTAGAACTAAAGAAGTGGATGTGGCTGAATCTAGGATCTTTAATGTAGATTCTGAAAGGATTGTTGTAGAAGAAAATACACAACTACAGGACACTGACAATAGTGATGGTTTCACAAGTGCATGTGAAGGCTAAAGAAAATAGTACTACTGTTAATCTTTTCATTTTTAGTTCATGTTTTTACTTTATTGTTCTTATCATTGTTAATATTTTTGGTTGGCTGATTGTAGGAAACATTTGACGTGTTTATAGAGAAGGGAGTAATGGCCAGGCTAGACAAGAAGCTAGGTGATGTTTTGATTCAAGAGACAGGGTACTAGTGTATGCAAACTCAACTTCTAGTGAATGTGCCACTTCTTAATTTGGCAGGTGGGTTTATATATCAATGTTCAACAGATTTGACCCTTAACATCCGTGGGGAGAAAATCAGTATACCACAAGTAGTAAGAAAAAAGTGAGGAAGAAAAGCTAATTACTGAAAGATATTACATTAGTTTGGTAATTGGGTTCATAATCGGACTTTTGGGAGTAATCGGAACGTTACATATGTACTAACAGTATTTAACAAAATTATGTTTCCTTGTCTTTGTCAACTTCTAGTTTGCCAATTGATGGTGAAGTATGTCAATTTTGTGCCTAATTGTAGAGAATTTTCTATATAGATTTATGGTCAAATAACTCACTTGAACATATTTCAATAATGATCTACGATGCAATTAATTCAACAAATCTAGAAATGAAAACTTTGAAAATAACGACCATTAGCTTATAGAGGAAATAAGACACTTCAAATGAAGTGAATGCTACAAGTTTCTTGAAATATCCCCAAAATAAAGAAAGATGCAACTACTTAGGTCCCCGAATTCTTCTTTATTTCCTTCCATGCTCATCTAGTGTTGCCAAATATGTCATTTTCCTTCCACGCTCGTCTAGCGTTATTTAAATAATGTCATGTTCTCATTTATTCGTTCATAAAAACAACTCACATTCGGACTAATGTAATTTGATGAGCAGAATGTATTTGCATATGTTCGTTGCATTTCATATTGGCCTGGTTTGGAAATATACTACATACGCGATTTTTTTGAGTAGGATAAATATTTAGAATTCTCAATATAATTTACATTATTTTTTAAAATAAAGTGTATGACGTAATTTTTTTTTTTTATGTAGGATAAATATTTAGAACGATAAAAGTATTTTTCATAAAAGATGCCGTAAAAGGAAGAGAATTAGAAAGTAATTTGGGATTTGGAAGGGAAACAATGGATTTTGACCTCGAAAATGATGCCCACCCAACAAAGCTGATGGTCACGATGTGTGCGTCAAAAAGAGCTTTCCGAATTGGGGTTATGAGTGCGATTCTGATAATCGTAGCAAATGTTATGGTCAAATTACCAAATATACGTATCGAAAAGAAGAAAAAGAAAAAAAAAATAGACACTCCGTGCTACGCGGAGTGTGTAATTGTTTTTTGTTTTTTTTCCTATACGTATATTTGGTAATTTGACCATAACTTTTGTTACGATTATCAGAATCGCACCCATGCCCCCAATTTGAAAAGCTTTTTTCGACGCGCACGTCGTGGCCACCAGCTTTGCTGGGTGGGCATTATTTTCGAGGTCAAAATCCGTTATTTTTCCTTCCAAATCCCCAATTACTTTCTAATTCTCTTCCTTTTACAGCATCTTTTATGAAAACTTCTAAATATTTATCCCACATTAGACACTTTTTAAAAAAAATTATGCATCCTCAATAATTGCTCGTCTGCAGAATATGACATTTTCATCTTGGATAAAAGTTGAAACCTATCTTCAAGTATGTAGGTATACATTCCAATTGTTTTGATTATACTCTTCAATTGACCGTGTGGTTCTGTGTGATTTAGAAGAAAAATAAATTTTTAGCAGGTGTGATAAAAAT